CATTCTACTCTCTCCCTACCTATTTAGGTGGTTGTGGTAGCAACAAAAGCAGCAGCAGCAACAGCCTCTGTCTCACATACTGACCTCTAGAGCCTGCTGCTTGTTGCCCCTTGTATTTTCCCACCCAGCCTGCTATACTTTCTTCTTCCCCTCCCTTGGAGAAGAAGGAACTGAGGGCTCAGTTCCTTTTGGCAGCAATTGTGCCATTCCACTGCCATCACCTTTCCAACCAAGATGGGGAAAAGCTAAACAAGTTTTTCCTATGTTATTCTGCAGTCTCAGTGGCTGCTCTGGATCACCGGTAGTCCAGGCTTCTTAACTGCTGCTTGGTCTGTAGAAGAGAAGGCAAGTGTAAGGAGAAGAGAAGATGGTCTGGCAGGTGTAATGGGCAACAATGATCTCAAGCCCCTGGACAGAGATGGCAGTTACTGCTGCCATGCTAGCCAAAGTAAATAATAATAATAATAATAATAATAATAATAATAATAATAATAATAATAATAATAATAATAATAATAATAATAATTTTATTTCTATACCGCCCTTCTCCCGAAGGACTCAGGGCGGTGTACAGCCAGTTTAAAAACACAAGATACAACAATAATTAAAAATTAAAATAATTAAATAGATTTGGCTGATTTAAAACTCTAAAAATTAAAATACCCCAATTTAAAATTATTATATTGACAGCCCTGCCTGGCGGAACAACAAGGTCTTCAGTGCACAGCGAAACACCCGGAGGTCGGAGATCTTGCGTATTTCCGGGGGCAGTTCATTCCACAGGGCTGGGGCTCCCACAGAGAAGGCCCTCCCCCTGGGTGTCGCCAGCCGACATAACTTGGCTGATGGCACCCTGAGGAGACCCTCTCTGTGGGAACGGACTGGTCGGTGGGAGGCTATTGGTGGCAGAAGACGGTCTCGAAGGTACCCGGGTCCTATGCCATGGAGCGCTTTAAAGGTGGTAAAAAAAAAAGTAGCCAGGCAGGATACAAATAAATAAAATACATGCTTCATGGTAATCGAGAAATGGAATGGGATTTTTTCAGTAGATAGGGAGAATTTGAGAAGATCAGGTTTGAATTTGTATGTATAATGCAGGCATGCTTAACCAACTTCTTTACAGATAGTCCTTGACTTGTGACTGGTCCTTAGGGCCGTTTGAAGGTATGGTGGACCCTCCCAAACCTACTTATAACCTGGTCTCAAAATTATGGCCTCTGCAGCCCCACTGCAGTCATTCACCTATATGGCAGACCACAGGGATGTTGTAGTTCCCCCACCCCCCACCTGCCCCCAAATCCACTCCCATGTTTTCTCTAGGCCTTGGGCTATCCCACCAGGCCCTACATCCTCATCTTTTGAAGATCTCTGGAGCTTGGTTTAGGAAAAAATAGTGAACTACTTGTTGCTGGACCACATGGTGCAAACCTGGAAGTGGCTTCCCCTTTTCAAGCAGCTTCACTGGCTTGCACCACGCGACCCAGCAGTGGAGTAACTTGCTATGCTTCCCTAATTCAAGTTCCACAGCTTTTTGCAAAGTTTCACAGCACTATTTTTTTTTCACAACTATTGCTATAAAGCTAACTATTTCCTGATCTGTACTTATTCATTTGTCTCTGTTAAATGTTGCTATGATATTTTTGGCCTGTTTCTCCAACCTTTCAACATTATATTATTCTTGTCTTCTAGGTATCACCTATCTATCCAATTTTATATACTCTGCAAATTGATAAGAATTTCCTACCACTTTTTTTCCCAATTAAGAAAAACATTGATGAATACAGAGGTGATGCACTTCTATTCTGGTCCACAACTGCCCATTTTATCTTTTTAGTGTGACAGAATGATTGACAAGCACTCTTGGGATATGATTTGCAAGCCAGCTGTGGTATCAATTTCACTCATATGCTACACTTAGCTGACTTGCAAAGCAGCCTGTCCTGGGGCGGTTTATCAGATGTGTTCCTGAGATCAAGATGCTTTTTGCCAAAGGGCTTCCACAACCAAGCACTGTTACCTGATCATGTGAGATAAAGTTAGCCTGGCAAACTTGGTCTTGAGGTGTCGACTTCTGTTAACCATCCTCAAGGTCCTTATAACTCTGGGTTAAATAACTAAATGCATCTTGACTATATTTCCATCTGCGCTCCTGATCCTGAGCCAGTTTACTATTGTCTTGGTGGAGAAAACTGATCCCCGGGTAAACTGGTTACCTACTGGTGTTTTGCTGGCTTCATTGTGCATTCTTCCAGAGAACCTGGTAGGATTCCTTGTCCAAATAAATTCTCTCCTGACCTATTCTCTATAATTCTAGCTGCCTGTTTATACTCTTCCTTGATGACCCTGTGTGTACTTTTTGCTTCCTGATCTTCTTTAAGCATTAGTGACATGGGACACTGCAACAGGTGCTGCTTTGGCCACAATTTGTGAAAAATCACAACCCTGGCGATTAGTTTAACGATTGTCAGGAAAAGATTAGTGACCTGAGAAAAGAAATCAAGCAAGAGAGAGTAATTGCTATCAAAGGGAGCAAATGTTGCACTGTGGAGAGAATTGAAGAGTCGAACTTGAAAGCTCGACTGCAGAAGATGGTGCTTAGGAGAGATTTGAATAAACTGCTTGCCTAAAAAGCAGCTAGAAGAAGAATCAGTGATAGAGGTAGTCCACGACTTATCAACAGTCATTTTCCAACCATTTGGAGTTACCTTGGCCTTGGATGCTTGGTAAATAGCTTGCATTTACTAACAGTTATGGTTCCCATGGTTGCATGACCACAATTCGTGGAAATTGAGGTTGCTTAACAATCCTTGGTGGTTTACTTAACAATCACCATGAAAAATATCAGAAAAACAGAAAAACATGGCTTCCTTATAACTGCAATAATTTATGACCAGATTTCGGCCCCAATCATCATGTCAAGGACTACTGTGGAAAAAAGGGGGGTAGCTTTAAAGAAAACTACTGCTGAGAAGTGACAATTCATTGGTTTCATGAGCCTGACTTTGGGAAGAGAAATAGGTGGGGAGGACAACCAGCAGCAGGCCACTCCCTTGGCTTTCAAAAGGAATTGAGGAGAAAGTGGAAGCACTTTCAACCAAGGGGAAACAAGGCCACGTGGAGAATCTGGTTGCTGACTATGTTAAGTCTCATTCCTACCATCCCTCACCTATGGCCAGGCTACCTAGAGCATCCAGTGGAAGATAGTGCACCCTTCCTGAGATGGAGAAGTGAACGTTATTTTTATAAGAGGAGAGGAAGGCAGGGCCCATCAAGGATTAGTGTTTTGTTTTTGTTTTTTTAAAATTTGATTTATATGCCGCCCTTCTCTGGAGACTCAGGGCGGCTTACAATGCGTTAAGCAATAGCCTTCATCCTTTTGTATATTTATACAAAGTCAGCTTATTGCCCCCACAAACTGGGTCCTCAATTTACCCACCTTAGAAAGGATGGAAGGCGGAGTCAACTTTGAGCCTGGTGAGATTTGAACTTACAGTAATTGCAGACAGCTGGTGTTAATCACAATGCTATTAGTCTGCTGAGCCACCAGGCTCAGTGTTAGCGTTAGAGGAGTTCCAGTGATTTTTCTCCACCAGGACATTGAAAAGGCTCCAGGCTGGGAGACCAGGAGCTGCCATTTGAGGAATGTCATCTTCAATAGAGTTTGGTCTCACCCCTCCTTCCACAAGTCTCTCAAAGCCTGGCTCTGCTCATGGCCTGGTCTTGAGGGAGCTGTCAAGCCTCTTACTTGTCTTGGGTATCATGCGTAGTTTGTTCCTGGTACATGTGCCTTTTTTCTTTCATTTCACTGTAAACTACCCAGGATTGCTGGGAGTTGGGCAGCCACTCAATCTAGGGACATAAATTGCCTTCTCCCATCTGGGCACAAAGGCCTCCAGCTGTTGAATGAAAAGGGATCTGGCATTTTTGATCTCTTTCTCTAGAGCTATGTAAGAAGCTGAAGGAATCCAAATTCAGAGGTACATAAGAAGCAAACTATTCTTGGATCTTTGGGCATTAACTGGCATGGGTTTCTTTTTTCTTTTGCAAGGCTTGTGGAGTATACCCGTCCTGATGGCACAGCGGGTCGTAAGGTGAAACCATACATCATTGACCTCGGCTCAGGCAACGGCACCTTTCTGAATAACCAGCGTATTGAACCTCAGCGCTATTATGAACTGAGAGAGAAGGATGTGCTGAAATTTGGCTTCAGCAGCAGGGAATACGTCCTCCTCCATGAGTCTTCCGATGCCACAGAGGATGATCAGAAGACAGAAGAGGAGGAGGAGGAAGAATCCACCTGTCGCGCCGACAGCGAGTAAACCTGGATCCATCTGGTGGACATTGGAGCCTTGAGGCTCTGGGTGCCCTCGCTGCCTTAACATCTGGAGGCTCCTCAGATGGAGATTGCTAGACGTGGTCATGGGCCAGGAACCCCGTTTTTGCTTTGGGGTGATATTTTTTAAAGTTTGGTGCTTCAGTGGCATCCGGTCGTTTTTCCAGTGCATGTTTCATGATAAAACCTCTTAAGTGGTCGACCATCCTGAACACGCAGGGCCGCCATTTATGCTCATTTTCCTTTTTTATTCCTTTATTCCAGTTTGTTTAAAAATAGATGCTTTTTGGTTAAGAGAATACAGAGCTCTCTCTCTCTCTCTCTCTGTGTGTGTGTGTGTGTTCTTCGCGTCTCTCCTTTCCTCCGCGTTGATCACGCCCTGCAGCCCCAGCAGAGTTCGCGGGGCCTTGTCCGGGAAGGAGATGAGCCGAGCTCCCTCCCGGCCTCCCTTCTTCGCTTCCCCGCCCGGCCTCGCGGCGCGGCTGAGGCGACCCGGCCGGGGCTTCCTCTGCCCGGCTGGCCCGCTGGGTCCCGGGCGCACGAGGGGCGCGGCGGCCTCCGGGTGAAGCGGGCGTCCAGGCAGCCGGGCGAGGGCGCTCCAGGCCGCGGCTCCTCCTCCCGCCTCCGCCGCGGCGCCACGCTCCGCCCCCGCCCGCCCGCCCGCCCGCCTCTCCTGCCCTCCTCCTCCGCCGGCCTGGTCGTGGTGGGGCTGCTCCGCGCGGGCGCTCGGGCGGGCCATGGCGGCGTTGCACGGGGCTGGTGCCAAGGCCGGCGCCCCGCCGCAGATCCCCGACACCCGCCGCGAGCTGGCCGAGCTGGTCAAGCGCAAGCAGGAGCTGGCGGTGAGCCGCGGGGGGGGAGGGGGCGAGGGAGGGGGGGGAGGGGGGGAGGGGGCGCCTGGGGGGGAGGGGAGGGGGCGTGCAGCGGCCCCCCCCACCCTCCCCCCCCCGCTAGCCCGGCCCGCCCTTCCGCCGCAGGAGACGCTGGCCAACCTGGAGCGGCAGATCTACGCCTTCGAGGGCAGCTACCTGGAGGACACGCAGATGTACGGGAACATCATCCGCGGCTGGGACCGCTACCTCACCAACCAGAAGTGAGCGGGGGGGGGCGGAAGGGGGGAGGGGGAGGGGGAGGGAGGCGCCCCTTGGCCCCGCTGCTGCCCGCCCTTCTCCCCCCCCCTCCCTCCCCCCGCAGAAACTCCAACAGCAAGAACGACCGTCGGAACCGGAAGTTCAAGGAAGCGGAGCGGCTCTTCAGCAAGTCCTCCGTCACCTCGGCGGCCGTAAGTGGGGGTCTCGCTGAAGGGGGGGGGAGGCGGCGAGGTCGCGCCCCTCCCCCTCACCTCCTGCCTCTCTTCTGCCCCCCCCCCCAGGCGGTCAGCGCCTTGGCCGGAGTTCAGGACCAGCTGATTGAGAAGCGTAAGTCCGGGAGGACCCCGCCCCTCCCCCCCCCCCCCCGGCTCCCCTTTCCCGGGTCCTGGGTAGCTGAGCCTGGGGGCCCTGCCTCCCCCCTCCCTCCCTCCCTGCAGGCGAGCCCGGCAGCGGCACCGAGAGCGCCCCTCCCCGGATTTTCACAACCAAGAAAACGAGCCGAGCCAGGAAGAGGTGGAGGAGCTGGACGCGTCCGTTCAGGGGGTGAAACCCCAGAAAGCGGCCTCTTCCGCCTCAGGGAGCCACCACAGTAGCCACAAAAAGCGGAAGAATAAAAACCGACACAGGTGAGCCGGGGAGACTGGAGACCCCGGGCAGCTTCTGTCCCTGGGCCCACGGCTGCACCCACCAGAGCCTCTGAAGGGCCTTCCTGACATGGTTCTCTTGAACGGTCCTAGTTCAACGTGGTACGTTAGGATCAGAGTTCGCCCCTCCCCGTGACTTCAGTGGCCAAGTGGGGCTTTGAATCTGGCAGCTGATCCCCATCTTGGGGTTCAAATGGAAAAGCCTCAGAGGCTGATCATGGTCTTCTACCCCAAGGAGATTCCAAAATCAGCAGCAGTCTTCCAGGGACTCTGTCCCAAAGAGAGACATCCCCTCTTCTCTTAACGACGTAGCCAATTAAGTTGGCAGGTTAACCCAGAAATGATATTTTACTGCTAAAGCCGTGAATTATCTCCATATGCAGTCTGCTCTATGTTAACACAAGGAAGTGACACTGCCCCAGCAGTCGTGTAGTCTTGAAAATGACAGTAGAGAAGGGGATGAAAGTGAAGGTACAAAGAGGAGAAATGGGACTGTTGTTATATGTATTTTGTTTAAGTTGCAAGTGTGTGATGATAACCCTTTTTGTGTAGCGAGGCATTTCTTATTGAGAATTGGAAATCTTCAAATAAATAAATCTTCAAGGCAGGAAGTACCAATAGACAAGGTCAAGCCTGGATATTCTGTTCTGAAGTATGCCAGATCTTCCCTTTCACAGGCCGGGAGAAAGCTGCAGAGACATAGGTTGGGCTGAACTTGAGGAGCAGAGTCTTCTCAGCGCCAGAGCTACCTGTGAAAGTGAAAGCAGACCCTCTCTTGGCTAATGCCCCTGGGCCAGCATTCTCCACAGTCTAGGCTGGTGTCCTGCCTTCTCAAGGCCCGGCACTGGGCCAGGCAGTAGGGGAAAATCTCTTCCATTTTCATTCTCTTCCATTCTGCCCAGGCAGTCCAGCCAGAGTCGTGCCCATCATTTACCGATCTGGCTGTTTGCTGTGCTCCTTTCAAGCATTGTGGGAGGTTCCCACCTTGTTTTTCTTTTCAAGGTTGATGATATTTGTCCCTTGCAGGGTCATAGGGTTATTTGGGGTAGCAGACTTCTGGGGGAGTGGGCCCGGTTTTGGGTGGATTTTATATTTCAAGATTACAATGATGTGTCACTTGCTCTTTATTTTTGAACTTCGCTAGGATGGCTAATCAACTAATTGATTTAATTCCTTAGTGTATTAATTTCTGTTGCTTTCTTCTTTTCGAATGCTGCCCCTCAGCCCGTCTGGCATGTTTGATTATGACTTTGAGTAAGTTTGACTTGATTTGACTTAGTTTTTGTGCTGTGATGTCAGTGTGTAGACTTTTCTTTTCCCCTTCGCCATCCTCCTTCAACTTCCCCATGTGCGCTTTCAAAACTATTCTAATCCATAGTTTATCTGTTTAATTGTAGGTATGTATATTAGGTTAGGCTGGCAAGTTTTTAAAAATACAGACAAAACCACAATGGAGGTAACTTTTTATTTAATAACCTTGGCTAAAAAAACTCATTCGGCTACCCTCTTTGCTTCTTTAATTTTTTATTTTGAAAAGCAGATAAACTTCTACTGAATTCTGAAAATTCATTTTTGTTGCTTTGCTTTCTGAGGCCTACAGATAAGGCAGTTTCCCAAATGCAGAAAATACAATTTGATTCTTACTGGTACCACTAAACCCTCTGGCTACCGTTTCCTCCTCCTCTGCTGCCTCCTCCTCCTCCTCTAAGTTCTATCTTTAACATGCTAACCCAGCAGATGATGTGTTCCCACGGTCTTTGGATGCTGCCTAACTCTCTAATGTGTCTATTCTGATAGTTGGGTGAAATCTGCTTTTCGGTGCCATTGGGAGGTGGGTTGGAAATGCTCATATCAGGCTTGTCCCTTTGCTGCTGTGGCCCAGACAAGGACTGCCTTTTTAGCCATCCGTAGGCCAACATTCACTTCTTCCTTCCTCCCTCCCATTGCAGGATTGATCTCAAGTTGAACAAAAAACCACGAGCTGTAAGTATCCCTTCTCTTTTTTCCCCCAACGTCCTGCCATCTTTCAGTTACTGCACAATTCTGGGTAGGGTTGAGGTGAAACTTGCTTAAAGGGGAGAAGAATGTCCTCCTTGCAGCCTCTGCTTTGGACGGTTGAAGGTCAGCATTGTCTGAGGGGGTGTGATCGGAGTTTGGAGCAGGGTTTTCCAGGGTTAGCCCTGCTCTACTCCTGCAGTCACCTTGTGGTGCTAGTCCTTCTCAGCTCCCTTGGGTGGGAAGTGGTGCCTCTTCAACTTGTGCTGGCATCTCCACTGATGTTCACTCTGCCCTTGTGCCCACAGGACTACTAGTGGTCCTTCAGGATGAATCTTCCAGGAACTTTTCTCCTTCCTTCCTTCCTTCCCAAGAGACTGAATAAGCACAAGCCCAGCTCTTTCCTGCAGCAGCCTGCACACCAGCGGCACTGCTGGCTGAAACAGCTGCTGCCAATTCATCATGCATAAAATCCATGAAGTCAAGTCCTCTCTACTTGCTGCCATCTTCTGGTTGAATTGTTTTGTCTCATGTATTTGGCTCTTTTTTAAAAAAAAAATAAACTTTATTTAATTTTCCATTTGTTAAAGATTAAGACAAATTGCCTGCTAGATGCTTTTATTCTTCAGAGACCAAATAGTTTTTTCAAACTGGAAAAGGTGATTCGATTTTACTCTGAAATACCTGCTAACTTGAGGGAAAAACATGGATGTGTGGGGCAAGCAGTCTCCTTTTTAATACGTATGTCTCCTTATTGTAAATAAAACAGCATCCACATTCACTTTAGATTGTTTTGTGGCTGCATTCATATCACATTGAGAGCTATAACCACAGGTGGTTGAGTAAACCAAAATTAGGGGATATCCTAAATTGTGCTGATGCATAAGTATTAAAGCGTAGTCTGGTCTAGTGGTGAGGACTCCAAGCTAGAAACTAGGGGACTCGAGTTCTAGTGCTGCCTCAGACCAATCCACCTCCCTGGGTTGTGGGGAAAATAGGAAGGAATGAATATCAGGTATGTTTGTTGCCTTGAATTATAAAGGGTAATGGGATAAAAATCTAATAAATGAGTCTGATTTATGAACCATAATGGCTTGAGTTGCAATACAGAAAGGTACAGATAAACAAAGTTCCCTTGGCCTTGGGTGTTGTGTGAATTCAGCCTCCCAGAGAAAGTCAGGCCAAGGAGTCAGATTTCAGAGCCTGGATCTGTTCTATTTGTCTTCTCAGCCACCCATGGGAAAGGCTGAGTTGGGGCAGAAATAGCCTTTTGGGGGCTTTCTGGAGTTTCCCTTGAGGGGAGGATCTCTTGCTTTGCCACAGATTCTCAGAGGCATTGATTGAGATCCCTGTCAGTGAGTTTCTACTTCCGGAAAGATGTTCCTCACGAATAACAATCCTTTCCTGCTCAGTAGCCCTTCTGTTCCGCTGACATGTCATCTGGTTAGACGTGTGGTATGGGGAGAGTGCAGGGCCTGTTCTGTGTAAACAAACTGGTCCTTAAAGATTAGAATTTGGAAAAACAGTTGAAAGAAACTTTGGCGGTCTTCTCATCCAACCTCCTGCTCAAGTAGGAAGCCCTATGCCATTCCAGACAAATGGCTGTCCAGTCTCTTCTTGAAAACATCCAGTGATGGAGCATCCACAACTTCTGGAAACAAGCTGTTCCATTGATTAATTGTTCTATCAGGAATTAATTCCAGGTTCACCAAGACACCTAGATCCCTCTTGCAGTTACTGCTGTTGAGCCAGATGCCACCTATGAAATACCTGTGTATTTGATTTTTCTGCCTAGATGCAGGAACTTACTTTTCTCACCACTGAAATGTGTCTTGTTGGATAGCACTCAATGCTCAAGTCTGTCAAGATCCTTCTGTATCTTGAGTCTATCATCTAAAGTTTTAGCAATTCCCCTCAGCTTGGTGTCATCTGCAAATTTGATGAATTTCCCTTCTATCCCCTCATATAGATCATTTGTTAGGATGTTGAAGAGTCCTGGCCCTAAAACAGCCTTGGGGTACCCCACTGCATATTTCCCTCCATGTAAATGTAGTGTCAAGATTGAACCACTTCTTTCAAACCTAATGCTTTTCAATTTGCCAATGAACTGGAGGGAGGGAAATGGAATGTGGAGAATGTATGTAGAGATTGTGAGCATGGAGCCAGCAAGGTCATCGCTGTAAGTGCATAAGAAAGAGATGGACCATTCTCATAAAAAAAGACCATCTCATAATTGGACAATGTGATCAACGAGGGGTGGAGAGAAGGATAAAGTATTGTTTTAATAGGGCAAGCATTTGCGTGGGAAATCAGAGTTGGTTTTGTTTCTTCAGTTCCCACAACATGGTTTATCCAATAAAATTTTACTTTTGGAAATTCAAGTCTTCTGAGAGTTATTTCCTTGCTTTTGGTTTGCTAATTAGACCAATGACATTAAATAATCTCTTTTAACTCAGCCTACTTGGATAACTCCAAGAGAGCTGTAACCTAATGATGTCCAGAACGGAGTGAAAAGCTGATGCCACAGCGAATCCTGGATCGTTCCCCCCTCAGGAGGCACCAGTAGTTGCTGAAGTGGATGCCGTAGTTCAAACAGTGATCCAAAGTGAGAACGGAGAAGATGGAGCAGCTACTGGTGCGTGAGGAGAGGATTGTGGCTGGATCCATTTGCCCTGACCCGAAGGTGCGATGGCTGAGCGAGTGCAGAAGGCAGCCGAGTTGGAGTTCCCCTTGGTTCTGTCTGGAGTTGCCATGACTAGGCAGCAAATGGAAGGCCCGGAGGGCTGCAGATTGGGAAGAGCCAGAGGAGTCGAAATTCCTAACAGCTGTAGCCCATCTGTGGACAACTGTGTGAGAGATTTGTCAGAATGGAGATGCAAGGAGCAGCACCAGTGAATCCATCAGTCCTTGGAACGAGGCTTGGGTTAGCAGCCCACTCCCCTTCACCACAAAGAGTGAGTCTAGGGAGTATCGTCTAAGGAGTAGGGGCTCCCCCAGTAGGGGTTGCCAACCCCCCTCCCACAGCTGCAGGGCAAGCCCAGAGAATCCCTGAAGCAGCAGGAACCCAGGCTACGTGCTACCGTATTTCCTCGAAAATAAGACCTGGTCTATATGAGAAACGAGCTCCAGATTGCCATCAATCTGGAGCTCTTTTATCAGCTACAGAGGCTTTTTCTGAAGGCCTCTGACAGTGAAACAGAGGCCAGGGGGTGCTGTGCATGTCAATCCAGAGCTTTTTTATTGGCTGCAGAGTTTTTCCCGAAGGCCTCTGACACCGAAACAGAGGCTAGGAGTGAGGTGCGCAAGCGCCCGCAAAAGAAGTGGGCTGGCAAGGCAAGGCAGGTGTTGGGGTGTGCAAGGCTTGGCTGCAACCGTCTGAAGGTAAGCAGCTTCACCACTAGGGGTCTTAATTAGGGGTCTTATTTTGGGGGGGTAGCGCTTATATTGCACGCATGTGTAAAAAATCAAGCAACGGCTTATTTTCAGGATAGATCTTATTTTTGGGGAAACATAGTTTGGGATGATTGGGAGGCCCCACCTCTAAAAGCTGTGTTTGATGGAGAAACAAGCCTACTTCCTGAACCAAGTGTGGAATTATCTGGATCCGATGCATCTGTCTCCACCACAAACAGCCGGAACTGATCAGTATGCTTGAGGATGGGTTGAGAGGTGAAGGCAGCCTTCAGGGCATCGAAGGCTCCCTGCTCTCCGGTGCCCCAATGGAATTTTTTTCCTTTCTTGAGCAGATTAGAAAGGGGAGTAGTCATGTGGGGAACAAACATGCAGTAATAGTTTGTGAACCAGTGGTGGGTTCCTCCCGGTTCGGCCTGGTTCGGCTGAGCCGGAAGGGGTGATGATATGACATCACCGAACCGGTTCTGCCCCCCCACCCCCCGGGTTATTCTTACCTTTTATTTGGCCTCACCCCCAATCTATTGCTGCCTCCTGAGTCCCAGCTGATGGCTAGAGGGGAAAAAACTGTTTAAACTCTTGCCGCGGGGCTTCAAAGGGCTGCCCTACAGCTAATCAGTGTTAAAAGAAAACAAATGAGTAGACTGGTGCCTGCAAAAATAAATGGGCAGACCCAGTGGTGGAATTCTACTTCAGTAGAACCGGTTGTTAAGTAGTTAAGCAGTTTGGAGAATCGGTTGTTAAAAGAAATCTCCTTTTGGTTTTTTCCACTTTATTACAACATTTGGTGTTGTTTCCTAGCCTAATCTTTATTACAGAAACTGCCTCTCCGGCAGTATGCCTAGACTTACTGTCACTTCCGGTTCCGGAGGCTATTTTTTTGCTTGACTTTCTTAAAGGGGAAAGGTTGTTTTAAGCTTTTTACACCGCTGTTGGGAGGAAATACTCCCCCCTTTGGAGTTCTTCCAGCCAGGGTGCAATCATCAGTACTTTGAAGAAATAATTGAATCCTTTTGTGCATATGGACTACTCAGAGGGCTGAAAAAGTTATTTTTGACTGGTCTTCGCACTTTTGACCAGTCCTCAAACTTACGACTGTCTCACATTTTATGTTTTTCGCCCTATCTTGTCACCATGGTGAAGAGAAGCAGTTGTGAAATGAGTGACACGGTTGTTAAGAATGCTGCACGGGCATAAATGTGAGGGTCATAAGTGTGAAGACCAGTCAAAAGTGCGAGGACCTGTCAGAAATGACTTTTTTCAGCCCTCTGAGTAGTCCCTATACATATAGCCATGGCCAGCTAGCCACACCCACCCAGTCACATGACCTCCAAGCCACGCCCACAGAACTGGTAGTAAAAAATTTTAGAACCCACCCGTCATGAACCCCAACAATCACTGCATGTCTTTGACCCACCATGGAGGTTGCCACGCATACATTGACTCGACTTTCTCTGGGTCCATCTCCATCCCAGCGGATGAGATATGATGACCCAGAAAGTTGATCATTGTTTGTGTGAACTGGCATTTCTCTCGCTTTGCAAATAAGTGGTTGTCTGGCAAGCGTCATAACAGCAGCCACACATGTTTCCAGCGTTTCTGTGGGGATGACGAGTAGACCAGGATGTCATCAAGGTAGATGACCATGAACTGATCCAGCAAGTCCCGGAAGATGTCATGCATAAAATGCATGAATACACCGGATGTGTTGGTCAAGCCGAATGGCATCACGGTATATACGAAGTGACTGTAATGCATCTGGAAGGCCGTCTTCCAGTCGTTGCCGGCACGAACTTGGACCAAGTTATAGGCCTCCCACAGGTCCAGCTTCATGAAGATCTTGGCCTGGCGAAGCCACTTGATCAGTTCAGGGATGAGGGGAAGCAGGTACTGGTTCTGTACTGTGATCACATTCAATTTGTGATAATCACAGCACAGGTGCAGCTCCCCCGATGACTTCTTGATGAAGAGCACCAGCACAGCCAAAGTGGAGGTTGAAGGCCAGATAAACCCCTTCCAGAGATTCTTCTTGATAAAGTCCCACAATGCTGCCAACTCTGGTTCTGACAGAGAGTAAATCCGACCCACTGGCAATTTGGCATCGGGCACCAAATCAATAGGGCAGTCAATAAGATTGATGCAGAGGCAACTGATCTGCCTCCTTTTCCCCGAATACATCGGCATAGTGCACCAACTCCATAGGTAGGTCCAGGTCCAGGTCCAGATGGGTAGCCACACCCCCTGAACAGGCATGCAGGTGATGGGTGGCATACTTCTTAACAGGGAACCGCAGTGCCCCAGATGACCTGCAGATCATGAGCCCATAACCACTCCACTGCGGCAACATAGAACACACTTCTTTCACATGTGGCCCAATGGGCATGTGAAAGGGTCTCGGTGCTGCAACCACAGGGCTTGAAGGGGCCGTCAATTGTCTCCAACAAGACCAGTGGTGACACTTGCCGCTGGAGGATGGACCACTGTGCAGCAAAGACCGAGTCCATGAAATTGGCCGTGGCCCCCAAGTCCTGGATCTCCACCACTTCATGACCAGGCATGAACACACTCAGTGCTAGCACAAGGTGCTTCACAAGAGTCAGTGGGGGTGGAGATAGCTGGCCCATTGCCAAGAAAGCCTGACCTATGGAGCCCTCTAGGCTGGGCCATGTCCATTTCCCACCCCTGCCGCAACTCTCTCAGCTGCCTGTTTGATATTTGGGCCCTAACAGGGTCCTCAAACATGGCCCTTACCTGATGACAAAACTGCATGATTATCCAGTAACGGGTTGGGCTGGGTCAGCAGGGGCATCTCCCAATGCGGTGCTGACCCCGACAAAAGGCTAATCAAAAACCCCACCTTATCCCGGTCAGTGGGGAAGTCCTTGGGCTGAAGGCTCATATAAACTGGCACTGCCCAAAAAACACTGGAAATTGGGCTAGCAAGCCATTAAATTTATCCGGCACTGCTACCCGGCATTTGTGGTGTGGCCAAAGTACTTGCATCTGCGCAACCTGTGCAGGCAGGAGGTCCACCTGCTGGACTAACTGATCATTGTCTGCTCAGAGCTGATCCATGTTTACCCAAAGTGGGACGGAGGAGCAAGTTGGAGTTAGGTCGGGAACAAAATGTGATGACTTGGGGCGTGGCATGAAACCAACACAGCCAGAGAACATGTCTAACTCCCCTTTATTGCTCCAACTTTGCCCCCAAACCTCCCCACGTTTACTATAAGTCCTGGAGCAGAACTCTCACATGCACATTCAACAGCCTCTGGCTGCGAATAGTCCAGTAAGCAAGGTGAGCAAAGCAGTAACCAGTTCAGTGAAGCAGGCAAACCGGGGAAGCCCCACAAGACAGAGCATAGTAATCTCCAGGCGTTGGCAAGTGCACACGAGGCTCCACAGATTAAATGCTTGTTCCTGACAAATGCCCCTCCCACCGGCATCTCCTTATATCTTAGTCCCCAGGTGTGCCTTGAGAAGGGGGTAGGGCACTCTCCTCCCTTGTAGCTGGCTCAGTCTGTGTTGTTCTTGCCTTCTCTTCGTGCTCTAGGATCATCACCTGAGCTCTGTCTCTCCTGCTCTTCCTTGTCTACAAGCCTTTCTAATCCTGAAAAACCCTGCTTGGACTGGCTCTGCCCTTCCCCAGTTTCCTCCGAAGCCAACGGAGCCGCCTCCTTGATCTTTGTCGGCTCCTGTTCCAGCTCATCTTCCCCTGTAGATTCAGGTTCCAAAGAGGGCATGACAAGCTGGGGGATGCAGATGTCCTCCTGGACAAACTCCAAGCCAGGTTTGGAGATCCATGCCATAAAGCGGGGGAGCTGGCCAATAGCCGAATACATTCGGCTGCTAATCCCAGGAGGGATACTGGTTCTATGGACATGAGGCCTGAGGAGGCGGAATATGGCTATCCTCACCCTTGAGCTTTCTATCAAAGTCTCCATGGATTGGCCTGGTGAGAGACG